AATATTATACATCAATTTGTGATGTATATATTACAAATCGACTTTGAAAATATCTGATAGTACGAGTATAAGCAAGACTTTTCCATGCCAACTTTGATAATAATAATAAAGTATTCACAGGTCATCTGCTCATTTTGTAAAGATTGTTTAAGATAATTTAATTCGATTGTTTAAGAAAATATTTAATGTACATTATACACAATTTATATATTATATTCTAAGATTATAGGATACTAGCGTTTCTACCTAGCTTCGGTTATTATTGAAAAGATATATAATATATAAATGAGATGAATTAAATGATGATAAAGATGGTTAAAAGTATGCTTATGTCACTCTTTAGTCCAAGAAGTAGAAATAAACAAACACACTTTCAATTTTATAATATTAGTATGGATTTAAATTTAACTTTTAAGAGAAGTAATCCGACTTTATATAAGTTCATATTTTATACATAAAAACGAACTGCGTACTATTACTAAAAATGCATAGAATTTTTAGATAGAAATGGGAAATATCAGCTGGAATAAACTTTTTACCACGATACCGTTACAAGCGGTGTAGAGTGTTAAAAATGTAGGGCCTCTTTGCTTGTGCAAACATACGTATTGTGAGGTACGGGAATGGCCATATAGAAAGAAAAACATGGTCTCTTTTATGTACATAAATGAAGTTTACATATATTTTAAAGTAAATGAATTGCTAGTTGAAATGTGGTCAAATATTATTAAAATGTACTTAACAGTGAATACACAATACACAATATAAATATGTGTATGTTTAAGCACATTATGGGTAAGCACAAGTACAGATTCTTTTGTATGCAACCAACTTCCCAATTCCAGACTATAGCTTAGCCTGGTCTAGGACTATTATTACATAATTATATTTGTTCGATTTGAACTTGAATAGAATATGTATATTGTATATAATATAATAATAATTCATAAGGAAGTTAAGAACAGTTTTGTTTTTTAATTAACCTACCATTTCTACTAATGTTAATAACTATATACTTTTAAGTGCATTTCTATTGACATACTCGTACAAACATGCAGACGTTTCAAAGGTGGCGGTGGAGGCCAATGTTAATAGGAAATATTAAATAAAGCTGAAATATTTTTTTCATAATCTTTATTGCTTTTGAATTAAGCCTATAATAATATTATTAATGTAATTTCTTTTTCATTAAGGTGGGAAATTAAAAGTAGTTAAAACGAACGCCACTTTTCAGACCGAATATGACGTCAGAGTATATCATAACAGAGCGTTTAGCGATTTTGTCGCTACAAATCGATTTTTCTGTGTATATCATACTGTGACGTCACACCAAGCGTGAAATGGGGGGCATTTAAAGTATCCGTGTCGGTGTGATATTTAACAAAAAATATACTTTTTTTTTTCGGAGGTGGATATTTTTTTACAATTATAAAACGATGGAAGCTATTTTATAAAAAAATAAAAAAAAATCAAGTATATTTCCTATTGACAAACAGTTAGATTATCCTATAAGCGTAAAAAAATTCTTAAAAGAGCATTAAATTCAGTTTACTGCACATGACGTACAACTTATATATAATATTCTAAGATTATAGGACATTCAAACTTAACTTCTAAGAAAAGCAAATCGGTTTTATAAAGTTCATATTGTATATATAAAAATAATTTCGTTCTATAACAAAAACAAGTACCTATATAACAAAACAACTGTTTTAAAAAAAAAAAAAACTAAACCTCCTTAATACCGAATAAACCAAAAGAAAAACAAAATCAGTTGACAAACAGAAGAGAAAAGGATACTGAGCTCTTTTGTCTTTCCCTATTTTTATATTATATAATATATTATGTAGATATAAATAATAGTAGATTAATTACTAACGGCTATAATTATCTATCCCACGGGAATCGTATATTTTTCCGAGATAAAATGTAATCTATGTGTTATTCTGATCTATCAGCTATATTATATATATATATATATATATATATATATATATATATATATGACAAGTCATTAGCATTACTACATTTAGGATGTAATCCAAACAAAGATTTTCAGATTGTATTTTACCTTCTCTTGTGTATATCCAGAACTAAAAGTTTTAAATAAAAAAGTTAAAATTAAATTTATTTTATGAATTTTTATTATATTATATACAATATACATATTCTATTCGAGTTCAAATGGAACAAATATAATTGTGTAATAAAAAATATAAATATGAACAGATCTATACATCCTCACAAACTTACGCATTTATAATATTAGTAGGATTTCATGTACCATATTTGTAGTTATTTTTATATTTTATAAGAGAATATTCAAGCATATTATTTTGTAAGGTAAATATAATAATAGTCATAGAAGCAGTCTCAAGTAGCTCTAGTAAGTATTTCGATCGTTAGTATACTGAGCAAAACAGACGAGCAACGTGCGCTACAGTGATTTATTATCTGCCTTCACGACAGCTGGCGATTTCGCCTCCTAACGGAGTCTAAATCTATCCAATAAAAAAGTTTTTAACTGATCTCAGATAATCTGTTAGAAACGGGAATATTTTAAAAAATTGTTATAAAATATGTACTTATAAGGAAATTTTACGGTAGCAATGTTTTTATTTAAAAGGTATCGTATAGGAACGGACGGACCTATTTCGAACAGGCCATAGTCCACTACACTGGGCACGTGCGGGTTGGTAGACTTTACATGTCCTTCGAAAACTTGCTAGGTTCTCTCAGACATGCAGGTTTCCTCACGATGTTTTTCTTTACCGTAACAACATGTATACATAATAATGCTAAAAAAACATGAACAGATTTTTTGTCAGTGTCTTCTTAAAATATTCGCTCTTTAATAAACTTTTTTTTAAAAATCATCCACCCCTTTCGCTTCTTATTTAAAAAAAACTGTTATAACGGTTTCCTTCCCATACACCTTTTTTAAGTTGGTCAAAAAATATTTTTTTTTCCTGTGTTGTTTTGCCTAAATATTAGTATTCAGTATCTAAATACTAATTATACTGTATCACATCGCTCATACAAATAGAAATAAGTCTGTTTCCATTAAGGAGAGGCTCTGAGTCAACAAACAAAGCGTTCTGCATTATAACAATGGATTAGAATCTCGCTGAAGTCTGAAAACCAATTATTGTTAGAAACTGTGGAACATTTTGCAATTCACGAAGTGGTTTGATAATTTAGAACTCGCATTCGATGGGACAGTGAACGTTCATTTTGAGCACTTGGTCCTTATATTTGTACATGGATATTTCATAGTAAATAGCATTATTAAACTTTTTAATATATTTTTATTTACAGAATTATGTCTATAGCTAGATTTTCCATTACTACTTATATAAATATATATGTATGTATGTTTGAAGAATCAACCTCGCTTCGCTCGAGTTTGTCCCTAGATTAATTCCCTATACAAACTTTCATCCCCATTTTCACACCCTTAGGGGATAATTTCCGGAATAAAAAGTCCTATGTCTTTCCCCGGGTTTCAAACTATCTTCTTACGAAATTTCATCTAAATCGGTCCCGTAGATCCAGAGATTACCCCTTATAATGTCAAAAACTCACAATTCACAAACTTTACCTCTTTATAATATTAATATATATGGCTAAGCATAGGGACGCACCCGAATGAAGTAAATGTAAGTTGCTAGTCTAGTATAAAGCGTTCAGAAATTGAAATCTTTAAATGTGATGATGTACACGGCATCACCTAGTTACATAGCTATTCTGGCTAACCTAACTAAAATGTTAAGTTACCTATATGTACAGGTCTGTGAAAGTTTCGCATCTACTGATAATATATAAACTTGATAATACCTCTATTAAAAGTCCAACGCCCAAAAGAAAAAAATATATACATAAATATAGGCATTCTCATATTTATAAAACTTTTAAATATCGCAATATTTTAACTCTGTTCATATAAAATCATTTTAAAACTTACAAATGCGTAATGAGTAATATCGTATTATACTCGTATTTTGCATAAATATCATTTTATCTTTGAAATTAAAATATGTATAAAATTTTATGCAAAAAAAAAAGAATTTTTCCCTCGAATACGCTTTTTCTGTGCCGCAAAATGTTTCGCGGATTAAACATATCCTTTAGCTTTCATGTGGTAAACTTGAAAAAGAGAACGAATTCTACTTTATTTTTACAGCAAATTTTTTGCACTTAGGTAAATATTTAATTTCTCTTTCGGAAAGTGTTTTTGGTTCTCATCTCTATAAAATATAGCATTATTTTAGGTGTCATATTTTTTTTACTTTATGAGAAAATTTTAACTTTGATTATAATAGAAAAAAAAATTAAAATATTTTAAATATATATACTACTAGCTGACCCGGCAAACGTTGTTTTGCCATATAAATAATTTCCTATAAATAAGGGTTGATCGTAGAAGGGTGAAAATTGAGGATTGTATGTATTTTTGTATGTTGTATCATAAAAAATTAGAAATTAAAAATTTTGTCTAAAAAATAAAAAATAAAAATTAGGGGTGGACTACCCCTAACATTTAGGGGATGAAAAATAGATGTTGGCCGATTCTCATAGATACCGGATAAGCACAAAAAATTTCATCAAAATCGGTCAAGCCGTTTCGGAGGAGTATGGCAACGAAAACTGTGACACGAGAATTTTATATATTAGATATAGTAGACTTACTAGCTTTGTGACAAATTTTGTACTAACATTCACTTTTTTGACTTTGAAAATTATGAACTTTTAGTGTCTTTTCAGTTTCTCTTATCATCTTTAATTTCTAACTCCATTTTTTGTACTACTTTAGTAGTTTTTTCTTTGACTGTTTTTGTCTTTATAATGCTTTGCTTTAAACCATTAGAATTAAGCAACTACCTTAAAATTTATGGAGTAACATAAAGTGGACCAAATATGTACATTAAATGTATTTATTTAATAGATATGTAATAGATCGACGGTTTTTAAAAATCATTCTCTTCTAAAAAATGTTCTTAGAAAACTTGACTTGAGTTTTTTAATTCAGGAACAAGTTTATCAACATCAAAGTTCTCTAGATCCCACCTTTGGACACTGTCTTCCATACATCTTTCCAGGCTTACTTGAAACCTTTCTGTAGCCGTTACTTGAAGACAATATCTCGTTTGCATATGTCTAATATATTTCGTCTGAAAAATTTTAGCATTGAGAATTGATGATCGTGTATAAGCAAATATTTATACTTTATTGGGATATGAAGTAATTATAGGTGGTCAAGTAGTAGGATAGAGGTATCGACTTGTGATACTAATATTTTCGACTTTAGAAACGATAACAGATTATCGATAATTTATTTCATCTTTAGAAGCAATTTTTTTCTCTGTGTTTTGTCTTGAATATCTTATAATATAAAATGAGCAATTTATGTGTATATATATATATATATATATATATATATATATATATATATATATATATATATATATATATATATATTTGTATATCTTTGACTTTAACAATATGAATGAAATTTTGTGTTTATATAAGATTGTTCATTTTTAGTTTATCTATTAAATCACTCGTAGGTGGCTTTTGTGAAAAAACCTATTTTTTATATTTTATCCGAAAAGATACTAAGCTTTATATTAATTAAAAAAATATGAAAAATAACAGGAAGCTCAAAAGAGTTAAGTTAGAAATAAGAATATTTTACCTTGTTTTCATACAACCACACTTGACTATCGTTTAGATCTCGACAAGTCATTAGCATTACTACATTTAGCATGTAATCCAAACAAAGATTTTCAGATTGTATTCTTCCTTCTCTTGTGTATATCCAGAACTAAAAGTTTTAAATAAAATTTAAGTTAACATGACTTCAATAATAAAATTAAACTTATTTTTTTTACCAGTCTCTTTGTTTAACTATACAAACAGATAAATAAAATTGAAGTATCTATTTGTTATGTAAAAATAACAGCTTTTTACTAATTGCATATGAAATTATATACGGGTACATATAAGAAAAGCAATTATTAAAATTTTTGTCTGTCTGTTCGTTCCAGCTAATATCCAAAAGGGCTGGACTGATTTTGACGAGACTTTCACTGGCAGATAGCTGATGTTTTAAAGAGTAATTTAGGCTAGTTTTATATTAAATAATAATAAGGGTAGCATTTTCAAAAAGGTAGGTAAGTAAGTCGTTGGCTTAAAATAAAAACTAATAAAAAATACCTAATACATTGTTTCTGATAGGTATATTAAGTTTGTGTAGCAACTAGTTTTATCATATGACAGGATACGAAGACCGATATTATAATAATTACATTATTGCAAAAGAGTCACAATTTTTCTCTTACTCTAAAACAAATGTGATTCAATTAAATAATAGTTTAAAACTATATTAAAAGTTTAGGTGAAAAAATTAAAAATTATTGATTATACGTACTTGATTACCCCCTTCATGATGGCAAGGCATCACACTGATCGTAGTAACGGTGCCATAATAACTAGTCGTAGAGTCAAGACAAATTGATTTGTTTGCAGAATTGTAAATCTACGTAAGAAGAGAAGAAAAATTAAAAGTTTCGTCCCCTTAATGCTTATTTGTTTAAACCACCAACAGGTATTGGTTGGAACTTTACGGTTTTTTTTTCTCTATTTTAATAACAAAGCTTTATTTCTACGATTTATATATACATAATATATAAACTAAGAATTGAGCTAACTTATATCATGTATTTACACATAGCACTCTTTTATCTATGTACTTTTCACAAGACTAGAGCCACAGGCAAAATTACTTATGTAAAAATAATTCAAACTTTTCTTATTTATTTAACTAACTAGAAATTTTGATTAACTATGTGAATTACAATCTAAATTTACACAACACCATCTAGTTCCATGGTAAGCTACGAGGCTGGTTACTGTGTTATGGATACCAGATAGTTGATACACTACACGTATATAACTACATACATATTATAAATATAAACAACCATGACTGGAATTCAAGGTTTTGCGCTCATCACAAAAATGAATGCCTCCAGCGGGACTCGAACCCACAATCGCTGGCATTCAAGTAGGGTCGCTACAAGCTGCGTTAAACGTGTCGTCAAAAAATAATAATAATGATAATAGTTAAAAAAACTTTTTAACAAAAAAATAAAAACCGACTTCAAACAAAAGCACTAAAAAGTTAAAAATAACTGATTGGTAGTTTTCATTTACTATACATACCTAATCAAATATTTTCGAAGTCGGTGTGCTTTACTTTGTATGGGCTGGCACCGATTTCGAAAATATTTGATAGGTACATATGTATTTAATAGGTAGGCTTTAATTACTTAGCCAAAGCACACCGACTTCGAAAATATTTCATTAGGTACGTATAGTAAATGAAAACTACCAATCAGTTATTTTTTACTTTTTAGTGCTTTTGTTTGAAGTAGGTTTTTATTTTTTTGTTAAAAAGTTTTTATGTTTCCCTTTTTAGTGTAGACAGTAGTAGCAAAGTAAGAATTCTAACGTGTTAGGCTTGTCAAATCAAACAAAATAAGCCTAAACTCAAAGTATCTACTATTAGCCGTTGAAGAGTTCCACCTATCCACCTTCTGGCCTTACCATCAGATCAGGTCAACAATACCGAACCACTGTACTATCAACGGAAATAGAAACACTTGCAAAGTTTCAAGTCAATATGACAATTAGAAGTAGGTTAAATTCATCATTAGCTATTTTTCCACCCTTAGGGGTGGTATTTTTTTTTAAATTTAAATGGGACCAATCTGGAAGTATACACTTTCAAACGACACAAAAATTGTCCAAATCGGTTAATAAATGACGGAGTTCTGAGGTAACAAACATAAAAAAAAATACAGTCGAATTGAGAACCTCCTCCTTTTTGAAGTCGGTTGAAAAAGATAATAATAATATAAAAACCTGTCCACTAGCAGCGTTGTGGATAGTTTTCTTCATCTCAGGATATACATGGGTAAGATACCAATCAAATGATTTGCATTTTAATTTCTTACGTAACTCTTTTTTAGCACTAACGTCTCCATATAGGCCTTTTGTACCAATTCGTTGATAAAAATATTTTGCGTACTCATCGAGCCAAACCTAAAATATCATATTTTATTTACTGGCGTGACCGTCACGCTCAGATATATACCGAGACTAAAGTGACTGACAGAGACGGAGAGAGTAATTTTACAAAGTGTGAGCGAGACAGATAGTGACGCCAGTTATCTATACTAATGTTATAAAGAGGTAAAGCTTGTGAGTTTGTGAGTTTGTGTCGTTGTAGGGGGTAATCTCTGGATCTACTGAACCGATTTAGATGAAATTTGGTAAGAAGATAGTTTGAGATCCTGGGAAGGACATAGGATACTTTTTATCCCGGAAATCATCCCTTAAGGGGGTGAAAATGGGGGTGAAAGTTTGTACTGGAAACCCGAGCGAAGTGAGGGGGAGTCGCTAATATTTTATAAAAATGATATGTATTTATATATATATATATATATATATATATATATATATATATATATATATATATATATATATATATATATATATATATATATATTATATATACATTCTTTTTCATGTAAAAATGACATCTGGTCTATGTTCCTGGGTTGAGGTAGAAAGTAATTATTTTTTGTTGTATATTTTAGTGAGCTCATAGGATATCAAATATGTACATAGCTAAACAATCCACGTGGTTATAAAAGGACCTGAGTGAAGTGGGAATGCGTCGCTCGAATTACTGAAAATGGTTTTGCACTCTGAGATAATGCGCATTGCGTAAGCTTTGTCCCGCGGAAATGAAACTCACAACCTTTGTCTCATTCTCATACATATAACTACACCACTACAGTTAATTGCCGTAATTAAAAATATTAATAATTAAAAAATAAACTAATATCATGAGAAAAGCAGTAAGGGTGTATGTTTGTTTTTTATCCACACTGAAATAGCTTAATTTATTATAATGAAATTGGGGATGGAGATAACTTATATTTTCAAATACTCAGCCCTTATGTAGTCCTCTACGTAGTCCCACTGTGCTGGGCACGGGCCTCAATACGAGGAGAACCAGGCCATAATCTAACACGCTAACTAAATGCGGGTTGTCGGACCTCACATGTCTTTCGAAAACTTGCTAGATGCTCTCAGACATGCAAGTTTCCTCACGATGTTTTTCTTCACCGTAAGACAAGTGGTAATCACATAGAATATCAGAGATGTGAGACCCGGGATTTGAACCCGCATCTACGGTTTCCCAAGCGAGCGCACTACCACTACGTTAATTATTATATTTTCAAATGAAATATAGGTCATTGTCAACATAACTACCGCGAACGGATCCATGGCCGTAACTAGTTAAAAATAATTTTATATTCAAGCCTTACTTCTGCAAGTCGCACCGAATTTCTTTTAAACGATCCCTTTTTTCCGCTATAAGGAAAATGCTCACGGAAAATATGCCCAACATGTGAGCATGGAACTATCTCCAATAAGCCCCCACACATCCATACTTTGAACGACAATTCTAAATTTTCCCCTCCCCATATGTCGAATCCTTCGTCGTAATAACCAATATGTTTGAAATATTCTGTATTTATAGCAAATAGACCCCCAGCTATAGTAGGCGTTTTGATCGGTGCAGAAACGTTTTCCTTACTCCTTACGATACTTGAGGGGACTTGTTTCCATACAAATTCTAAGTTCCAATTGAATCCACCAATTAAAATGTCCTTTGCATCTTGAGATATGTACTCGAATGTAGAAGTATCGATACTATCTATAACTGGGCTTACGACTGTTTTGGGGTTGTTATGTATACGGTCTAGTAAAGGTTCCAACCAACCTGTAAATGAATTTCCGAAATTACTTTAAATCAGTTTGTATTACCTACATAAATAATATGCGATGCTTTAATTAATTTTCTAATTACGAAGCCGCTACGATGTTTTGAGCGTAAAAAAAGATAATGTTAATTAATTTCATTAAAGAAATAATTAAAATCAATTTAATTTGCAAGACAAGAAAGATGAAAGAAGAGATGTTCAACAAGAAGCCGTTTCGCTAGAAGCGGTCTCTTGAAGGCAACCTTGAGATAGAGTAAAATTATCAATAAAAACGGCGTACAGTGTACCTACTTGCTTTAGTAGGAACAAATATATTGTTATAATGTACAGCTTGTAGAAAAACATCATCGAAATTAAAAAAAAACTACATTATCATTCACCGCTATAAATAAAAAAGGTAAACAGCTATAAAGATATTTATTATGAACATCAGTTTTAACTCTAATTGATAAATTAAACTAAAATACATTCATAAATAAATAACAATATAAAGTAAAAGAACCCGATACAACAAAATAGCAGAAAGAAGTGAGTATTTTATTTTGTATTAGCAACCCGAGTTCTAATAATACATTTTTAAGTGAGCGCAAGAATAGAGATTATCGAGTATTGAATAAAGCTATGAGGGACTTGGATGTTGAACTTAGGATAACTTTTACAGAATATTTCGAATAAGCTTGGAAAAAATCTCGTTTGTTATTTAAAGTAACATGTTTAATATGGCTAAAAAATTAAATGATGGATCTGTTCATGCCATAAAAATAAACAACCTTGCAGTGTCAGTTGACACAACAGGCTTAAAATAATAATAATAACTGTCTAAAATGAAATAAAACGAGACAACGACAGAGAGAGAGAGAGAGAAAACGCATTATGGGAAAAAGGAGAAGTATATATATATTTATATATATATATATATTATATATATATATATATATATATATATTTATATATATTTTTTGGACATTAATACACAGCACCATCTAATCCATGGTAAGCTACGAGGCTTGTGTTATGGATACCAGATAGTTGATACACTACACATGTATAACTTTAAATATATACATACATACATATTATAAATATGTATGTATTTGAAATTTATATATAATAGAAATTAGTAAAAAAATGAAATTAAAGAAAAATATTGAGTAGCATACAATATGTTAGGTACTTATTTAGTTTGTGCTTATGTATTTTAGAAAGTAAAATATTTAATATAATATTATAAAACTATAAATAGTTTATGAAGAATTTATGTTTTATTTTGTTTGTTTCTTTTTATTTATTTTTTTAACTACTATTAAAATTACTTTTGTTTTTAGAGACTATTTTTAAGAAGTGAGACCTAAATATTTTGCTAAAATCCTTAGGAACAGAGCAATTGTTGTGCTAATATACATATAAATAAACTATACAGAGAGGAGTCACAAGCATAAGCTAGTTTGATGAAAATTACTTACGCACCATTAGTACACTCACAGTGACTGTCAATAAAACAAACAACAGGAGTATTCACTTTCATCACACCCAGTATTCTTGCTCTGATGAGACCTTCCCTTCGTTTTGTACGTAGCAGGCATATTTTTGGAAACTTTTTAATGTATTCATCTAGGTTATTTTTCAAGTGAGCTAAAAATATATGGTTTTTAGAGAAATTCCTGAGAGCTCTTTATGACTCAACCCAGGACTTGAACTGAGGACCCTAAATGATATACAGTCATAAACGCTAACCACATTCTACAAACATATTGATTCTATTTAAAAAAACCATCGACAATCTTAATTAAGCGTATAGCATGATAATTTCTAGACATACTTTGTAAACCTAAAAAAATAGTTTTTTTTCAGTTTTTCTGTGAACTGCTCAAAAATCTTACTAAAATTTAAGCACATAAAATGGAGAAAACTTTGGTTACTAGATCTCCATCAATCTCCATCATACAAGGTATATAACCTTTTTAAAGAGTACCTTTTTAAATAAACAAAATACATATTAAGTTAAATGGTCCACTTCAAATTTTACCCGGTTTATGGGCAGGCAAGTTATTAGTAGTTCATAAGCTTAGCTTAGCTAATGGTTAAATTTAACTGGAAGGCATTATCTTTAAACATATATTACATTTAAGCTATATAAAATAGCAGAAAATCTTGATGCCTCGGTGGTCTAATGGCTAGCATATACGGCTGCAGATTTGGAGGTCCTGGGTTCGAGTATTGGGTCAAGCCAAGTTTAATTACTGAATTTTTCTGTTATTCTTAACAGAAAAACTTAGTAATTAAATTCTGAGTAACGGCCCGGAGTTGGGAAGTTGGCGGTGATTCACCCCCGTGCCACGGAGAGCACGTAGGCCATCGGTCCTGTCCACCAGTCGTGTCTAATTATTATAGATCCACCGGAGTATAGCGTGACAGGAATAAAGAACGCACCTGTGCCTGCGCAATACAATTATAATATCCCCTTGCAGTTGGCTAGTCTCAGTAAGATTGGCTGCCAGGTCCGAAGTCGGTCAGGAGGGCGGGACGTCAAAGAAAGGAAGTCGGGAGTTTGATTCCTGTTCAGCGCAAGCCTATTTCTTTTAGTCTGCTCAAAGATACATTGCTTAAAAATAAACGAGGGATTAGACGACCCAATGAGTGTTTTGATATTATAATAAGATAGAAAATTAGGATAGAAGTTATTGTTGAATGTATGTGACTTCAACAACGACAAACAGACAAAAGAGATGTTAAATAGATTTGGATGACATTGCATATACACATAAATATTTTGAAATTTACATATTATAAATTTTTACCTAGTATATGTGTTACAGTCCAATACTTAAGACTTTACAATAATCTCTCTAAAACCTAATAGACATAACTGTCTAGCCAGTTATAAAAGAAAATAACATTTTTTTATAAGCGAGTAAAATCGCAGACTGAAACTAGTCGGACTACTATTAAAAAAAGCAAAATAATATATGTATGTATGTGTGTCTATACGTGTGCGTTTGTTACTTCTTCAATATTAAACGGCTAATCGGATTTTGATGAAATTTAGTACACAGATAGTCTTTAACCTGGAAAAGCCATAAGCTACTGTTAGATCTGGAAACGCAGCGAAGTGAGGGTAGTTATTATATGTAAATAAAAAAGTTTAAAAACTTACGCATCGTAGAAAAATCATCCACTAATATTATTATTTTTAGCAAATTTCCCGGCGACCTGTTTAAAACTGAATGTATTGTTCGTAAGAGTGTTGACCAAGCTTCGTTATGAAAACATATAACTACGGAAACTTCTGGTAAATTTGCGCTGTAGTTTCTTTTCAAGCATCTAAAGGGGCATGTATATTTTCGTTAGCAAATTAATTATATTTTCCTCCTACGAAGTTTCTAGTGTATTTGAATTTAATTTTAGCCATCAAACACAAATAGCCTTAGCTATTTAAAATATTCTATATTTAATATCCATTCGCTTAATTAAAGAAATTAAGACCAAAAATATGTCAATGGATTCAAATCTCTACCAGTTGAAACCCCTAAATAAATACATATATATGCGCGTGTGTGTGTCAAATACATGTTAGTGTGAGTTATGTTTTTTTTATTTATTTAATGTATTTTTAAGCATAATTTTTAAAAAATATTAGCATTCTGAACTCCTTCTCTGTATAAACTATAAGAGTGGATCTCCTCCGTCCGCGCAATTTGCGTAAAAAGGAGCACAAAGTTTTTGCTTCACGTTTTAATATAAGGTCACAGCTATATATGAATATTGAATATGTATTTTTAGTAATGTGCTTATATTATATTGGGACTAGAAGGTTATGTTAGTCATTTGGCTTGTCTGCGGGATAGAGTATGAATTCAATCCCAACAATTGGATCCCAGTAAATGTAAAAAAAGGTGTTATTGCTTTGATTAAAAAAAATACGTAAAAGAAACTTTGTTAGCTAATGATTTTTAGAGTTAATTATACTATAAGTTATTTTATAGAAGTTTAGAAGAAATTGTTATTTCTTCATAAATAAAAAAGCGAATATAATTTACGAAAAAACAACTGATGACCCGCTGAGTTTCTTTCCGCAATTATTCTCAGGACTAAGGCATTGTTTGCCAAACTACTGGTAGAGTTTTTGACAAACAATAAATGTATTACTCATATGCCAATAGTGAATAAAAAAATTTGTATAAGGAATACATACGTACCCCTCATCTCTTACATCAGGTAACATACGATCAAAAGGTATTAGATCACTAACGAACTGGTTAAAAGCGTTGTCTTGCCAACCTTTTCTTATGGATGTCTTTATCATGCCTTTGACAACGTCCTGCATGTAAACCGGCTTTCCAAGATATCCTAAAACACACTTAGACTAATAATGCTAATATTATGAAGCTCTAATTAATTTTCTTTAAACAAGCGTTTTCCTCATATTACTGTAAAGTTTCATCAAATTCAGTTCAGTAATTTTACTATATACATATATTATAGTTGTCGCCTTTAAAATATTTGTAGGATGACAAGAATTACAATTATAGAGACACTTAGAAATTCTATAAATGTGCAATTTTACCTCATTCTGCACGTATTCTACAAAATGAATCCTTGAAAGTGCAGCGATAAAATTTTAATTATTTGAATAAGCAGTAGATTTGCTCTATGTACGCTGAAAATATATTTTCTGCTACGCTTTAAGCTAAATATAGAGTTGGGATATTTCTCTCATATAACTTGCTTTAATGATATCTGCATTCACCTATTTCTCGTAATTGGCAAAAGTATACACTAGAATATCTTTGAATTCGTATATTTTTATTTTATTCTCATTATATGTGGATATTTGAATTTTTTTTTACCTAATGGTAGTTTTTGGTTCTTTATTACTGCTAAACGATCTTCGAACGACAAGCGAGTGTTAGTTTTACCTACGAGTTTCCATACTGAAAAAAAGCAGATCTTATAAACAAATGCTTTAAAATTTTTGATTTAGAAATTCTAAGAAGATAGTTTTGTAAAGACTAAGTAAGGCATTTATCGCTTATAATAATTGTTAAGTACTAAGACAAGTAAACCTATCATTAAAATTTGATAATATTAAGTAATATAGAAAAATATTTGTCGAAAGGATAAAATTGATTTTTATTTATGTTATAGTTTTACCAAGCAGGCGGGGAAAAAGGTAGCCTATCCGTCTCCAGGTTTCCATATATATCCTTAATCAATTTAATCAAAATCTGTTTAACGGCTTAAGAGTAAAATGGTAACAAAAATACAGTTACTTTGACATTTATAATTTTACTATGTACATAGGTGTAGAAGTATGAAACCGGAATTTCCCTACAGATGGTACTAGTCATCAGTTTAAGGACCGTAAGACCGCTTCTGCAGCACCATCATCTCCTTCTAACACCTGACGAAGATTTTAAATACACAACAACCCCAGTTTCATACACCGTTATATTTTTCTATAACCTTAAACATGTCGAGTTTTGTGCCTACGAACTACGATTTGCGGACAGCATTGGTCTTCTGTTATTATTTAAAGAAAACTGCCGCAGAGTCGCATCGAACGCTTGTCGAAGCTTACGGTGAACATGCTCTTAGTATAACGCAGTGTTTTGAGTGGTTCAAAAAAATCAAAAGTGGTGATTTTGACCTGAGAAACGAAAACCGTGGAAAACCAACGAAAAATTTCGCAGACAACAAATTGCAAGCTTTATTGAATGAAGATGATACTCAAACTCAACAAGATCTCGCGGATCAATTGAATGTGACACAGAAAGCCGTATTCATTCATTTGAAAGCTATGGAAAAGATTCAGAAAGTGAAAAAATGGGTTCCCCATGAACTGAATGAAAAGAAGCAAGAAAATTGAAAAACCACTTGTGAAATTCTGCTCGACAGGTACAAAAGAAAGTCATTTCTCCATCGAATCGTAACAGATGATGAAAAATGGATATATTTCGAGAATCCTAAGCGTCATAAATCTTAGGTGAATCCTGGCGAACCATCGACATCCACTGCAAGACCAACTTGCTTTGGAAAGAAGACGATGCTCTGTGTTTGGTGGGATCAGAAGGGTATAATCTATCATGAGCTGTCAAATCTTGGGAAAACCGTTAACACTGATCGCTACCAAAAGCAAATGATCGATTTAAATCGAGCATTACGTGAATAACGACCGGAATATGAAAGAAGACAACACAACGTCAGTTTGCTTCATGATAATGCCCCATCACACACAGCAAAACGGATCAGGGAAACGATCGAGGCGTTCAGTTGGGAAATTCTAGCGCATGCGGCTATCTCTCCAGGCTTGGCTCCGTCCGTTTATGATCTATTCGTATCACTGGAATACACTCTCGCTGAACGACGCTTCAATTCGTATGTAAATGTGCGAAAATGGCTCAATAACTGATTCGCTTCAAATGAAGAACTGTTTTTTTAGCGTGGCATTCATGAATTGCCGGAGAGGTGGGAAAAATGTATACATAGCAATGGAAATTATTTTGAATAAAATATTTCTTATCATTTTGAAACAACAGACTTGTAATTTTTACAAAAAAATTCCGGTTTCATACTTCTAGACATAGATATATGTGTTTGTACATAATTATATTTTAATATACGGTTTTTTTGTTTCTAATATTATGATAAAAAGCTCGACATACATATACATATATAACGACGATAGTAAACCAATTGATTAGCAGTCGTAAGTCATAATCATGATTTGCTATAGTTATAACTCGCTATGAGTACTCGTATGAGTCGCTACTCACCCTCACTCCGCTCGGGTATGTCCCTAATTACCTACGTTTTAACGGTTAGTATATATTTCTCAGAGATGAGATATTTTTCCTCAGTAAAAAGTATCCTAAATGTTGACTCGGATAACCAGTTATCATCATACCAAATTTCATTAAAATCTATCTAATGGTTTTCTCGTGATGCGTTCCCAGACAGACAGACAAAATTTTTAAAACTATAGATTCGGTCTCTGTATAAATAATAATGACCGTTTCAATAAGATTTTCCAAAAAATATCTAATATAGGTTCGACTCAGACTTTTATTATAATATGATATATTAATATGATAAACCAAATATTAACGTTATCTTATTGTATCAAGAAAAATTGGTAAAAATTGTGTTTTTCTAGAAATACTGAATTGATTCTCATGTACATTTTCTTATAAAAAGTATACATGTCTGAGTTACGAAGTTAGCCACGAGCAAAAATATAAAAATATAAAAGAAAATAAAGCTCCTCAAATTAAAGTCAATGATTCTGTATGATATTAAAAATAATATAATATATCTATGACACAAAAAATATCTTATTTTCCTCTCAAATAAATAAAAGAAACGAATGATCTGTAAAATAATCTTGATGTATAAAATAAAGTAAAAATTACCTTACCATTTAATTTTGAAGCGTTTTTGTAACTTACAAAGTATCTTAAAGCATATTCATATCGTCGATCTTCTTCCTCAATTGAAGATTCTTTTATATGTTCCCTGGAAATAAATAGCAATATTATAAGCCATATGACTAAAATAAATGCGAAAAGCTTTAAATATTTTCTTAGCATTATATAGAAAATTGGATAAGTATGGTTTCACACTGTTTCTTCGGTAAGGAAATGGCTTACTGAACAATACGTTATCGTGCAAGGAGCTACTCAATACACATTGCGGTATTATTCTCGTCATATTTAATAATATATACTGTAAAATTTTCAGTAGCCATTTTCCTCCCACTAGTGACTCTTCATGCGTTTACTCAAGTTTTAAATCTTAAGTAACTGATTGAAAATAGAGTAATATCTTACAGAGACCTTGCAGTTGTAATCTTGCAACATATCTAATTAAGTACAGCAAGTAGGATACACAATATTCTCTATATATATATATATATATATATATATATATATATATATATATATATATATATATATTTTATCTTTCAAGCATGAGATTAAAATAACAATTTTATGAACGACTAGCGACTCACTCTCCCTTCGCTTGGTTTCGTCCCTAGCTTGCTTTCCAATACAAACTTTCATCCTCATTTTCACCCCCTTAGGGGATGGTTTTCGAGATAAAAATTTCCTTTGTCCTTCCCAGGGTCTCAAACTATCTTCTTACCCAATTTCACCTAAATCGGTTCTGTAGATCCTGAAATTACCCCCTACAACGTCATAAACTCACAAACTCACAATATCACAAACTTTACCTCCTTATAATATTAGTATAGATTAAATTTAATTGCTTTACCTTTCTATATTATTTTGATAGATAGCTTTTAACTAATGATTAAAATCAGTTTTTATTAAGACATTTTTACCAGAATAAGTCGCTGTAGTTTGTCAATATTCAGTTACTGAGAAAAATGGCTCCTACACGTTCAAGACTATAGAAAGCAGTCAGTAGAAAATATATTTATAATCGCCAATCCTTAAGCTTTTATCCCGGAAAAATGTGTGGTTCCCGTGGGATAGATTTGTTTTTGTTTTTCACTAGGGACAAACCCGAACGAAGCGAGGGTGAGTCGCTAGTAAAAAATAATTTGTGTCTTATTTACATCAAAGTATCTTTAGACTTCTGTGAGTAATAGGAATATAAATAAATAAATATTTTGGCACATTAATATACAGCACCACCTAGTTCCATGGTAAGCTACGAGGCTTGTGTTATGGATACCAGATAGTTGATACACTACACATATATAAACTTTAAATACATACATATTATAAACATGGCTAGGTAGGTGTTATAAAAAATACTATTCATTAAATTACATTAAGCTTTCCAGTTAACATAATTAAGAGTAAATTTGGTTGCAATTCAAGTTTTTCCTGAACGCTAATGATCTTCATTGTGGAGTTCCGGTTATTTTTATTCAAGCACTCTTTAATTAACAGCAAGAGAAGTAGAAATTGTCTAAAATTATAGCTGAATAGTTATGTCTGTTCTTTATAAAGACTTGTAAGAACTACGGCATGGTGGTGCTGAATTTTCTCCGACTCAAAAGGGAAGTAATTAAGTAGTAATTATGGAGTTATATATATATATATATATATATAAATTTCAAGAAAACTCAAACTGGGTAAAAGTGACTTAAAAATAGGTGTACATTTTTATACTAATTATAGTTGTAATAATTTATACATAAAATTTATTCATACTACCATCTGTCGTACATTTATATTTCGTAGTAGAAGAAATATAAGGACGAAGCGGAGTTTGAAGTAAACTTTTAAGTTTAGAGTGATTTTTCGAACGGAGATACTATGTACTCGTATACTAAAGCGTAATTTAGGCTACTTTTTGTAAATCAAATAATAACATAATATATAACAGACTAATATAATTGGTCTATTGCAAAAACTTACTTTAGCATTTATGACTATTTTGACATATAACAAAGCAAACCACTAGAGAAAGTGATGACTCGCGATGCCACTCGCAGTCGTCTAACGACTATATCATTAATCATACAACTGCTTGCTCTTTGACTCGGTTAGAGCCAAGCTATTGTGCATCTGGTACAATGTCTTGATCATTTTGTTACGTAACTATGTATCTACATTCTACATACTTTATATAGGTGTATTTTTAACCCCCGACGCAAAAAGAGGGGTGTTATAAGTTTGACGTCGATGTCTGTCTGTCTCTGTGTATGTGTGTCTGTCTGTGACACCGTAGCTCTCAAACGGATGGACCGATTTCGATGCGGTTTTCATTTGAAAGCCATTTCGTTGCGGTGGTTCATAGCTATGTTTGGTTTATATCGGTCCAGCAGTGTAAGAGTATCAGCTATTTTCCAAAATGATGTAAGGCATTTTGGCGTATGATAACTCGATGAAGTGCTTCACGCGTGCCAGTGTAAACGTTAAATGACAATTAATTTGCGAAGGGGTTTTTTTTAATTTTTAATTTATAATTATGGTTGTTATTCATTTATGTTTTGTCTATTACTATTTTACTGCAAGTTAAGATAACTTGCAGTAAAATAGTTTCATTAAACCTAAAAAAGGATGCACCTATATCATAATCACTTTCAAAATCCTTTAGGCGGAATTTAGTACTGCATAACGCACACACGCATACACATATTACATGTGTGGATCCCAGGATTTGAACCCACTCCATATAGTTACCCAAGAGAGTGCAGTACCACTGGGCCACCACTGATGTAACATTTATATAGTGTAGTACTCAGCTGAAGGTGATAGAAAGCACAAGCTTATGTCCAATTAAAATAAAACTTACCATATAAACTTACACAAATACAGCGGCTTAAATAAGAAAGCCAAACCAATAAAACATTCATCTCTTGAAATAATAAAAATATTTCTTTAATAATTTTATAATCTCAGTTATAGTCATTAAAATTTTAATAGTCGACACGTACTGTTATTCTGTTGACGTCTCATTAAAATTATATTTTACTTTAAAAATGCTCGTTATGAGTCTAAAAGGATAAATAATTATAATTATTATATAACGAAAAAGTAAATTATTTTTACATTTTAATTGAAGTGTTGGAGCTGCGTATTTTTTCAATTTTTGCTTAAAACGAATCCTTGTTTAAGTAAATTTTACCATTGCCTAATAGTGACCCGCCTTAGCTAAGTTCAGGTAAAAACTGTACTTAGACTTCTTACATAGTATTCTAGTTATGATATAAGTAGTACATATGATATAAATAATGACGAAAATAAAATAAAAATGACGCCAGAAAGTTACACCCCTTTAAAGCATCATAATATTATATAAATTTTGCACACTATTTTTTTTTGTTCCTAAGGAGATTCCATTGATTTACCAAATTTGCTCCATATGACGGTAAAATATCATTTACTTATCACTAAAAGTATCGTTAAAATTGTTTTAGCCGTTGTCATTTATCCTCAGTTTTTTTACTCATAAATATTTTCAATATAATCATAAGTAGTAATAAATACATATACTAATTTTGGTTTTCAAACAAAAAATATTATCTTAAGTTGAAATATTTGCGATTTTTAAATTAAAATTGCGGTTTAAATCGCTTGCTTCTTTTAGTTATTGAACTGAAATCGCCCCACGGTGTAAGATAAAGGTCTCTAAAAGAAATAGTGTATGTAGTACAAAGATGGAGGAGTTATTCCGCAAAGGCCAGAGCAAAAAATATGAAAGGAAAACGAAACTGTTTATAAATCATGTAATTTATAAAACATATTGTAACCTATCGTTGATTCCTATAAAGCCACAATAAAAAGGTTCACTTAGAGGTAAATTAATCTATTTTACCCTTTCCTTACAATACACCTTGCAAATGTGAGGTTGAAGAAAAGTCAGTATGGGATAAAGTAAGTTAAAAGATTTTTATTTAGCTAACATTTTTTTAATTTAGATAAAGGAAGTAAAATTCTATATTCAAGACGAGGTTTCTTATATTGAAAGTTTTGTCAAAATTTATTCCCTGTATTTGAATGGACAAAAATATTAAGATTTGTAAGTTTTTCTACAACCTTAAAAAGAGCTACGAAGAAGTCACTAAGGTACTTAAATGCAAACAGAAATTTATTTATATTTATTTACCAAGCCATTTAGGTTCTAAATTGAATTTTAATAGCCATCTCAAATTCCCATTATACGAAAAGTATGATGTAAATCACTTACCATTGTTCGCAACAAAGCATCTAAAAGGAGTATGAGGTAGTGTATTCTGCTTCGGGAAATTATTTGCAGAAGTATTCTTTGAAAATATGAAAACACTTTTCAAATAAAAAATATTGAATTGGAGTGTTGAATATTCTCTAAAAGGAAAGTTTGTAGTCAATTTGCATATCAGTAATATTATTTCATATATCCTGAAAATATTTTACTACTAGCATTGCCCGCGGCTCCGCCCGCGTTCAGATGACCAAAAACCAAATTCTTAGGTTTTACATATTAGTATACTCTTACATTGATTGCAGTTTTTGTAATTTTTCTTAGAAATGAGATATTTTCCCGCGATAAAAAGTATCCAATATGTTGACCTGGATAACCAGCTATCACCATACCAAATTTCATCAATATCCTTCCAGTGGTTTTTCTGTGATACGGTAACAGACAGACAGACAGCCAGACAGACAAAAATTCTAAAAACTATAGATTCGGCCTGTGTATCGATAATAATGTTTATTTCAATAAGATTTTCCAAAAAATATTTAATGTACAGAGACTGGCTCATTATTATTTGCAAGTATGACTTTTACCACCTCCAGGTAAACTAAGAAATTAATTAAATTTCTAAGAAATCTATTGTTAACTGTAACGCCGACGTGTCCGCGGTCGTTGAGGGATTAAATATGAGTCGTGGAGTTCGAATTTAGATGTTCGTATTGATTATAATATGTACGTACTAGTTTTCACAAGTTTCTTCTAACAATCGCCAAACTATTGCAATTTAACGGTTGTTAGGTTTATCTTAAACCAAGCCATTCAGTCCAAACCTGATGATGACCAAAAGATGATAGAAGCTTGAAATTTGAAGAAGATATTTATTTTATATTGTAGGCGTCATTGAGGAAAGAGATTTTCGAAATTCATCCACTAAAAGGGTAAAATAGGGAATGAAAGTTTGTATGAAACTCTGTCCTTAGAATGTAATGTACAATTTAGCTTTAATTTAAAAATGCAGAGATAAAAAAATGCTTCAAGGAGTAAAAGAGGGTAAGAGTGAGGGAGGGTGGTAAAGTATATAAAATTTAACCATAAATGTATATTTAAGCCAGAATTACATTATTACTGTACATTACGAATATAGTAAACTGAATAACGCTAGTAATACATATACAATATACATAATATATAATTACAAATTAATACAAAATGCTGCAGAGACTATGTATTTACTAGGTATGACATAATTTTGTTTTAATCCTATATAATAAAGCGGTTTTCTAGTGTTTATCTCAAGCTTCGCGATGCCGCATAATCGCAGAGTCGGTGATCATTTCATAATTAAAGTTGTTCCATACTTGACAAAGTTTTGAGATCTAATCTGGGCCTTATAAGCCCCATTTAATATTCCTCTTCACACTCGCATCGATCCGTAGATTAAGCTATATTACTCTAGCATTAGCTAGAGTTATTGTTGAACTTTGAACAATTTAAAATCACGCTTATATTGTATATGTAGGTATATTTGCATGTTCGTTTGTTACTCTGTCTGTCTGTGCCTGTTGTTTCATAATTGTTCTATTATGCTGTAGTAAAAATGGTTCAATTTAACTGATCTGGAACAAAATATGGCATAGCCAGGCTTTTTATATATATAATCTTAGTAGCGGCTCAACCTCGCTCCGCTCGAGTTCGTCCCTAGTTACGTTTTAATGTTTACTATACTTACCGATTTTTATAATATTTGTTTTGTTGGATTTATCTTTACCCCGAATAGTAGAATAACTATTAAAACATCGGAAAATTTCACTAAAAAAAATGTGAGTACCTCGTTTTTTTAATAAAATGTCTTTATCAAATACTTTTAAATATAGATTATACATGTCGTACTTATGATTGTCCAATTCTTGGAAAGGGATATATTGGATATATGGGATATATAGGATAGGTGAAGTTAAAAGTGTACCAAAAGGGATGAAAAAAAAGCATGCAGGGACATTATATTTTTATGCAGAAAGTATTCGATTGTCGAATGAATACTCATTGTCACTCATCATAATACCTAAAGTCAAAATTTAGGATGTTTATTTACTTGGGTAGACTTTTTTTGAATATTTAAAAATTGTTTAAACAGTTTTATTATTTTATATTTGATATCCATGTTATGTAAATATAATAAATAGAACTCTCATTATTAATTCATAAATGAACGTGGATGATGAAATTTGTGGAATTTGTCACATTAATGCTAGATATACAAATAATTTTGTTTAGTTTATAAAATCTACTATTAAAGCTCTGCTCGCTGTATTTATTACCTATATCGTGTTATATTGATATATTTTTGGCTCAAAATAATACGGCATCTTTATTTAAAGTATAAGTATAAGTAAGTATAAGTATATTTAAAGTATAAGTATTTTTATATATAAAATTGTATATAATGCTATAAATCAATGCCCTATTTTTCATCAAACAATTTCACATAATGAGAACTATAGAAGATAGATGGTGAATTTCACCAACATATTGGAGGGTTAAAGAAAAATGGGTTTGGCATCGTGTTCTGAAAACTGCGCCCTTTAATTTGCATTATTAGAACATTATAGCTCTTATTTCAAAGGGCTTAAGATGAATATCGGATGTACTCAATTATCTGAACAGAAGAAAGCGTAAATTTGGGGAAGGTTAACAAATATGTTATAGGGACACGGAATTTATGATTGGACTATCATTTTTATGATT